CCAAAACTTCAGTCACCCTAAGTTGATCTGCCTACTGACTTCAGTCCTGGTGTGGTTTATTCACCATACTTCCAAACCCTGTTCGATGTCTGCTCCAGACGAGTGTGAGGAAACCCACAATCTCTCCTTACAGTAACAGAACGGTGCCTAAGACAGGGTTTTGTTTCCTTAATTCTTCATATTGATAAGTTTATTGTTAATGTGTTCAAACCAACCACAATTTGGTGCTCCACATGAGGAACATTTGAGGTCATGTAAGGAATCTTTAATGTGGTTAGTCTGTATATTTTGGTGCTCAGGGTGAGGTCAATTCTATTGTTTTCAGATCTACACATTGCTGGCTACTTGATCTTAAGACTGACCTTCACACTGAAGAGAAAAAAAAAAAAAGCTATACTTTAAGCCACCTGGCTTGTTCTGTTATATTTTGTTACAATTGTCTTTTTACATTATACATTCTGGCCTACCATGAGAATGGCCAAGTTTCATTTTTTGTAGAATAATTTTAGGCGTAACATTCTTACTTTTCTGTTTAGCCTTTAAAATGCCATTCACTGCCTTTCCACACCCCTGGTGTAATGGGAAACTGCTGTCACGGATTTCTTAAATGTGAATGCCTTTTCTCTTAAAGCCAGTGTGAAGGTGCAGTCTATTCATTCAGTGTGAATGTGAAAGTTGGGGGGGGGGTTGTTGTTTTGTCCAATCTTAAAATTTCTGGAATCGACTTCTCCAAATACTCCCTATCCATTTTAGAGCTTACATTCTGTTTTAGCTCACCAATAGCAACCAACAGCAATCCTAAGTCTTTTGAGACAGGGTTTCTCTATGTAGCTGTGGCTGTCCTGGAACTCAAGAGACCTGCCTGCCTCTGCTTCCTGAGTGCTGGGGTTAAAGGCATGCACCACCACACCTGGCTAAGTCACTTATTTTTCCATTGTTTGTGATTGGGTGACATTTTCAATTTGCCTGTCTTCAAATTCACTATTAATCCTAGTAATTTAAGCCTGCTGGAACCTTCTAGCGAGTTTAGTCATTGGTTTTTTATTTTGTGTGTTTTGTGTTGAGGCCTGCTCCCCAAGCATAGCTGTAGTTTTTTTGTTCCATGCCTGCCAGTCATTCCATATTGTTACTGACACAAGAAAATAGCTTGCCTCAGAGCAGGGTCACGCTGATCACATATCCTGTTATGTTCTGAGGTTTGCTAATTCTACGACATTCCACAACCATCAGCTCCACTTAGGGACAATCAGAATAAAGATCAATTAGAACTGCTCTGTCTAGCAAGCCTAAATAGCTTGAGTCAGGGCTGACTACCGGGCAGTGCTTCTTGCACCTGACCTCATTTTGATTTTTGGTTTTAAAAGTTACATGTACTATGTGAGTGCAGGTACCTTACCCTTCACCCTTGGAAGACTAGAAGACCTCAGATCCCTTACAATCGAAGTTAGACAGTTGTTGAGAACAAAACCAGGGTTCTGCACAAAACAGTAACCTCTCAGAACACTGAGCCAACTTCCTACCCTGACCCTTGTATTTTTCAATCAAGACTTCTCTTGGGATTTTCCTAACTTGTTTACTGGTAATTTCCTATTTGGAAAGTTTCTCTGTATTTTCATGACCTAACCACGGTGTCTCTGGTATTTGGGCAAGTTTACAAAAGCTGAATATAAGTCCAACATCTGTATTCCTCATAGATGGTTCTCTGTATCTGTGTCTTTTAATATACTATTATATACACACACACAGAGAGAGACGGTAAAAGCAGGAAATTCAAAAGTTCAATGTCACACTTGACTTCATAGCAAATTCAAGGCCAGACTGACCTGAAATCGTCTCAAAAATATTCTACAGTGACAATTTTGGATATCAGAATTCATTCTCCATGGTTTCCTGTTTAGTGACCTCACTGAAGTAATTTTTTAAAAAAGATTTATCTATTTTATGTCTATGAGTACATCGTCACTGTCTTCAGACACATCAGAAAAGGGCATTAGATCTTATGGTTGTGAGCCACCATGTACCGGGAATTGAACTCAGAACCTCTGAAGAGCAGTCGGTGCTCTTAACCGCTGAGCCAGCCCCCGAAGCAATTTTGTACAGTATACATTTGTTGTAAATGACCACAGAAGTCCGCCTCCTTACTTCACTGGCCCAGTGCTATCTGGACAGACTCTGGAGCCGCTAAGCTCCTCTCACCCTGTTCAAGCGTGGTTTCCAAGTTCCACTTTGAGCACTCTAGTGACGCACTTTATGCTCACACAGAGCAGCTGGTTTTCATAGCTATCTCTGGGACGACCACTTATTTTGAAAGTGGAGAAAGTAAGGAATTATTATGTAAATGCTAAGTTCTTGAATGTTCTTAAAATTACCAAAAGCCTTTGGTTAATTCTAGGACTTGGAAGAAATTCCTGAACCTTCCTTCCCTAGGCAACTGTGGCCTTTGCACAGATATACAGACCCGAGTGCTTGCTCACATACACAGTGTGAAATACCTTTTAACATGACACACATTAGAGTCATCAGGAAACAGGGGACCTCACCTGAGAACCCAACTCCAAAGTGGCCTGTTGGCATGTTTGGAGAGCATTTTCTTGATTAAGTATTTATGAAGAGCCCAGCCACTGTAGGCGATGTCAACTCTTTAAGAGATGGTCCCGAGTTGTATAAAAACCCCAACTAGAAGCCAGGTGTGGTGGAATATGCCTTTAATCCCAGCACTAGGGAGGCAGAGGCAGGTTAACTGAGAGTTTGACCCTGCCTAACCTACAGAATGAGCTCCAGGACATCCAGGGGCTACACAGAGAAACCCTGTCTTATAAACAAAATTACCCAAAGAGAAGGATCAGTGGAACAGGTGATCGAGGGAGGGGTAGAGGAGCTTCTGTGGACTGATTTAGTATACACAGTTTCTGTTTAGGAAGATGAAGTTTTGAAAACTAGAGGTATCATAAATGTAGATGTACAAACTGCCACTGAATTCCACTCCAGGGGTGGTGTGTGTGTGTGTGTGTGTGTGAAAATGAGTACTGTGGTCTGCTCTTAGCATCCTATTACTCAGAAAGACTGAGGCAGGAGAATAAATTGAGCATCCCAAGGACTGTTTCCTTCAAGGACAGCCGCAGGTGGAGGCCTTCAGCATACAAAGCCTAAGTCTCCTGTAGAAGAGTCCCTCTTCCCCCATTCCAGCCCCTCAGTACTTGTGGGACTCACTTGGTGCCAAGCTGGATTCTAACCCCAACCAGGACTCACTGCAGGTCCTGAGTCATTGGGCAAGTCGGCCCAGTATCCGAGGAAGAAGCCCAGCCTAAAATCCCCGAGTTTTGTCTTCTCTAGATTGTCAGCAATCCAGCATCCCAGTGGTAAGACGGAAACGCAGACCAACAGTTAAGAGTCTTTTTCTTTCTTCTGCTATCAACAGTCCTCTTCCAAATGTAGCCACCACCAGCCACACAAGTGGCTGGGGAACACGCCTCCCCAGCACCCCAACAGAGAGCACCAAAGGCCCAGCTAGAGAAAGGCCACACCCTACATTCTGAGTGATTGAGGATCCCTGACACCTTATGTAGACTACACACACACACACACACACACACACACACACACACACACACA